GGACCACAAACAAGAGGCACAGCTGAAGCCCAAGGTCAAAGGGCCTTCACCCAGCCCATAGAGCTGGCACTTTAAACTCGGACTTCCAGCCTCCTAAACTGTAAGAGAATAAACTCCTCTTTGTTAAAGTCACCCACTTGTGGTATATCTGTTAGAGCAGCACTAGAGGTAACCAAATCACCATGGTATAATCAATATAGTACTATACCTATCCTTCACTAATTGACTATCACCTTATCTGATGTTTCCCATTTACTGCATAGTAAATAATGTAATATCTAGTTACATACATCTGACAGTAATGAACGCTGAAGTGCAAGGCAAGAGTAATGCTCGCTGTGATGGTTAAGGTTCTGTCAAATCACCTATCCACGATTCTCAGTGGTTTGGCAATTATGTAATGATGTAATCATCTTCCATTTTGTGATCTGATGTGGTCATCCTTCATTTTCGCATTACATCAATTTTCATATAAAGAACCACCTGGTCTTTGGAACTTAACCATGTTAATAAGAAGGAGTGCCTATACTGTAAGCAGTACTCATGGACACCATGACACTAACTCTTACCTTATTTTCTTTGGACATTATAGTATTCTAAACTAAAAATGGGAGCTCTGGTAACATAGTGGCTAGGGCAGTTGATTGCTAACCAGAAGGCTGGTGGTTCAAACCCACCAGCCACTCCCCAGAAGGAAGATGGGGCAATCTACTTCTGTAGTGATACTGCCTCAGAAACCCAAGGAGGGGTCACTATGAGTCAAGTCTGACTCAATGGCACATAACAACAACAACAGCAAACTAAAAACTAAACACTCACTGCCATCGAGTTGGATCTGACTCATAGCAACCCCTACTTGGATTTCCAAGGCAGTGTCATTATGGAGGTAGATCTCCCAATCTTCCTTCCAAGGAGTGGCTGGTGGGTTTGAACTGCCAGCCTTCTGGTTAGCAGTCAGATGCCTTAGGCACTAAGCCACTAGAGCTCCCATTAGCTGCAAAAATCCAATCCAAGTGTCAAAACCATAATTCAATAGCATCAAGTCAGTGACACAAGTTTCAAAATATGGTATAAAAGAAAAGAAAAAGCCATTGAAATTAACTTTTAATTTTCTATTTCATATAGCATTCTATGAAATTTTACATGGGATAAAAGAACACTAGGTAAATGTGATTGTTTAACATGACTGAAAAATAAAGTGATGTTATATTTACTTGTATAAATTTTAAATGGTATTGACATTTTGAACTATTAGCACAGTTCCTAAAAACACTAATAAGAACTACTTTTTACTGTTCTTTTTTAACCTTTGTGGATGTGAATATTTAAAATGAAAGTAATGAACTTTGTTTACACTAGTGCAGAGCAGTTGACTGGAAAGTCCAGAAGGGCTGAAATATTAACCTGATTTTCCCAACCCTGTTCCTTATTTTTATCTCCATTCTCTTCTCTCAGTGACTTAATATCCTATTAAGTCATTCATGGATCAAATGACACAACCTACATCAGTCTCCTCAGGAAGTATTCCTTAGATTTACCTCTACTTTTCCCTTGCTAATCTGGAATTTTCACTTTATCACTTTTAGACAATATATCCTTGTAGTGAACACTCCTTTGTCATCTCCTTACAAGAAGTTATGCAATTAGGCTAGTTTACAACAGGTAGCAGATCTTATGAAGGCAATAGTTGCATAACATAATTCAAAAAGGAAAAGGAGCACCAAAGGTTTTGAAGTAGTATTTGATTATTTCAAGAGACTTAAACAAGCATGTCTAGATCATCATCAGCCCATAGATGACTCCTTAAACATTAGCTATGTTTTGGGTATTGTCAAACCAACTGTAATTCTTTTACATTCTTGTTGATAACTCAGAATAGTTTTCATGGTGGAGGGCACTTTTCAGCTAAGTCTTTCATTCTTTAGCAAATATCTCCTAGCTGTGTTCTGAGGCAAGCGGAAGCCAGTAGGAAATTCTTTGTTCTAAGATTCTCCTAATTTAAAATTAATAGACCTACCTTTCCCCTGGGAGCTCTGGTAGCATAGTGGCTAAGACACTTGCCTGCTAACCAGACGGCTGGCGGTTCAGACCCACCAGCCACTCCTCGGAAGGAAGGTTGGGCAATCCTACTTCCGTAGTGATACTGCCTCAGAAACCCAAGGAGGGGTCGCTATGAGTCAGGTTTGACTCGATGGCACATAACAACAACAACAACAACCTTTCCCATATCCAAAGTCTCATGTGATCACTTAAAAATATATATAGGAGCCAGTAAGTTTATGTTAATAAGGGGAAGTATAACTCAGAAAAGGAGGATGAGAATGGTTGCAAAGAAAAAGAATGTAACCAATGTCACTGGATTGTACGGGAAGATATTATTGAATTGGTATGTGTTCTCCTGTGTATATTCTCAATAATAACAAAAATAAAATAAAATATTAAAAGTTTTAAAAACACATATAGAATGTTTACAGTGGCTTTTCTTATAATTTATAAAAACTGACAGCAACCCAGAAGTCCTTCAACAGATTAATGGGTGAACAAACTGGCATCTACACAATGGAATACTATTCAGTAACCAAAAGAAATATACTATTAATCCACCAAAAGACACAAAGTAACCTTACATATATATTAGTAAATGAAAGAAGCCAGTTTGAAAGGCTACATATTGTATAATTCCAACTATATGACCTTCTGGAAAAAGTAAAAAGTAGAGACAATGAAAAGACCAGTGGTTGCTGGGAGTTAAGCAGGAGGGGTAGGAGGGTGGATAAAGAGATGGAACACAGGGTATTTTCAGGGCAGTGAAACTATTCTGAATGATACTGTAATGCTGGATACATGACATTAAGTGTTTTTTCAAAACTCACAGAACAAAGAACAAACCCTAATTTAAACTATGGACTTTAGTTCATAATAATGTATTAATACTGGAGCATCAATTATAATAAAGGTACCACAGGAAAGCAAGATGATAATAGAGGAACTATGTGCAGAGGGGAGGGAAGTATATAGCAATTTGTACTTTCAACACAATTTTTCTATAAACCTAAAACTGCTTTGAAAACTAAGTCTAATTATATATATATATATATACATATTATATATATGTATATATCTATATATATGTGTGTGTGTGTGTGTGTGTATTATATGTGTTTATATAAAAACATAAAATTTGCTAGGATTGAAGCAGAGTCTTCTGTTGCTAAGAGTCACATACACGACTGTCCTCCTGATGAATTTAAAATGGAGGTACAGACCCTTTCTCTTAGTAACTATTCCTCTCTCTGCCATCATGATCTTATTTTCAACATACGTATAGCTGAGGTTTGTATCATCTTACCTAGTAAAGGGTATTATGGAGAAAATACAGATACAAACATATCTTGTTTTATTGTGCTTCACTCTGTTGTACTTTGTAGACATTGGATTTTTTACAAATTGAAGGTTTGTCACAACCCTCTATCAAGCAAGTCTATTGACACCATTTTTTCAACAGCATGTACTCATTTCATGTCTCTGTGTCAAATTTTGGTAATTCTCTCAGAGTTTCAAACTTTTTCATAATGCTATTGCACACAATAGACTACAGTATAGTGTAAACATAGCTTTTATGTGCACTAGGAAACTAGCATGTGACTGACATTTTGTAACATTCACTTTACTGCACTGCACTGGTCTGGAACTAAACCTGCCGTATCTCCGAGGTATACCTATACCTATATTGTAATGTTTTCCTTTCATGTTTTTTATTTGTTAATAATCAGATGAATTTATGACAAATCTTACCATACATCTTTATTACTCCTCTTACAGGTTGAGAATTAGAACACAATAGGTATTTCTTACCATTGGAATCCACAATAGTGATGTTGGCAGAGGCACTGTCATTTCCTAATTTGCTGATCACTTTGCACATGTATTCTCCAGAGTCAGCCAGTGATGCTTTGTTAATGTGAAGTTCTGACTTCCTGTAAGATCAGGACCAAAATGGTATAAGCATATTTCACAGAGATACAAAGAATATCAAAATTATATTTTGTGTAGTTCCAGAGTTCTCAGAGTACCGCCCACCCCACACAAACCATGTTAAAACACAACTTGCTATTCCATAGGTCTGACAATATGATTTTACCTACAGTAAAATAAGATACAGCACAGTTAAGTTATACCATTTCAGAGTCTTAATTTTATAACCCAGATCAATAATTTAAAGCAGTTCCTCTCTTATGTTTCTTTTTATTCCTCTACCACTGCCACTAAGCACATTGTGCCTCAGATATTTCAATTGACTTTTTAATATTTTCTTTGTTCTCTATATCTAAACGTCATTAGCCACTAGGGTTTGGGGAAAGAAAAAGGTGTAAAATCCTTTCTTGCAAATCTACTAAGGACAGATATGAATAAAGACTCAAATAGATAACAATGTTCTCCACTTCTCTCCCTTGAGGCACATCAGAAAAAAAAAATGTTCATTTTGAAAGAAGAAGATTTATTATTTCCAAAAGAGAGGTAATGTGTCTCTCCTTAAGATTCTCATTTCCAGAAACATAGTATCACATGACTGATTCTTAATACTGGAATAAATATTCATGTAACAACAGCACACACTTTAATACAACTCTGTACAGTAAATCATAGTCAGCATTTTTTGAACATGGGCAACACTGTGTTTATGTAACTGCTGCACAGACCCTCTTGTTCAAACTGTTTCCAAGATTTAAAGGCTCAGAAACACTGGAGTTGATTCAGAGTTCCTTGAAACCTTTTTAAAGCATCCTTCTGTGATGTAGCCTGGCACCTGTCACTGTCTGAACCTCTGAGAAGAGAAAAAGCAGGGAGGACAAACAACAATGCAGAATTATATGTGAACCTCTCATAAATTATACCTTGCTAGCTTTTTGTGCATTTTCTGCTCATCTTGCCATATGATATAATTAATGAAGTTAAATTGTCTGTTTCAAAATAAATTTTTACTAATTTCTCCAGGCTATCAAATGGAAGCACAGTTTGCTGAAACAATTTTGGGGTATGACCATGAAACCACTAACAATAATAAAAATAAATAAATAATGAAGACTATCAGAGAGGGGAATAATATTATCCCCACACAAAAGAAAAAGGAGATCCCTGGAACAAGAAAATAGAAACTTTTCTGCTAAGCTCTGAAATTTTGAGGTAAAATTATTATAAAAACATCGCAAGAATAGATAGTCCTTCCTTCTCACTGTAAGGAAATGTAGTAACAGTAAATGTAGCAACTCTAAAGAGTCCTTTCTTAACTCTGTGTAATTAGTATTTGAACTGGATTAAACTATAAGAAATATAGTAATATACTTGCAGTTAACATAATTGTAAATGGATAGCTACTAAAACCAAATTCTCCCAATAGATCTAAGGAGTGTTTGCTGGAATACTATTTATGGTAGGTAAGGTTGTGTGTCAGCTTGGCTAGGCCTGGTTTTGAGTGGCTGGGCAGTTGGATGTAGTTATTCCCCATGGCAAGATTGGTAATTAACTCCATGTTAGAATCTACTGGAGCATATTACTAGCTGTTTTAGGGATGTGGTCTGCTTCCAGTATATAAGAAGCAACTTTGAGGAAAGTCTCCAGCTTGTGGCATGCTTGGACCCTGCATGTCACTGAGTTGTTGTTCAGCAACCTGCCATGTTGTCTGCTGATGTTGGGACTCTTAGGACTTGAATCAATGGCCTGCCATGAGGTTTAGTAATATCGGGACAGTGCCATTTTATTTGTTGACCTTGGGTTTGTCAGCCTCAGCAGCCAGCAGCTGCCTAAATGAAGAGAAGTCTCCAGCTTCAATAAGGAGCTCTGGTGGTATAGTGGATAAGGCATTTGGCTGCTAACCAGAAGGTCAGTGGTTCAAACCTATCAGCTGCTCCATGGAAGGAAGGTGGGGTGATCTATTTCCCTAAAGATTTACAGTCTTGGAAACCCAATGGGGGTTGCTGTAAGTTGGAATCAATTCAATGACATTGAGTTTGGTTTTTTGGTCTTCACTGGACTGGGAACAAGAGGCAGATCTGAAGTCCAAGGTCCAGGGGCTTTCACCCTGCCCCTAGAGCCTGGCAGTTTGAACTTGAACTTCTAGCCTCCCAAACTATAAAAGAATAAACTCCTGTTTATTAAAGACATCCCATTTGTGGTCTATTCCTGTCAGAGCAGCACTAGGTAACCAAAATACTATTCGAGTAATGTAAATAGATATATGTTTTAGAAAAATAAACTGAAAAAATTTTTCTGTGACCAAATAAATGTTGTGTTAAATTTATGTAAGTTTCTTTACAACAATAATTCTTAAGTTTTTTATGCAAATAGGTATGGTCATTTGTTTGTTTGTTTGTTTGTTAGGCAGGCCATGAATTCCCTTCTGTAGAGAACAACCCTGTGAATTCTAGGGCTGAACATCAATGGACCAAGAACAAGATTCAGTATAATCAAGATAAGCATAATAGGTGTATTCCAGGTTTAAAATTCAGTGACAGAAATACAGGATAGGTGAGACGGGGCTTCACAACAATTCACAGAGAATAAAATACAAGTTTCATTAGCCATACAAAGTTAACATTTGTACATTTTAAACAACTGTTAAAGAAGGAAACTAATGCACTCTCCATGCAAATTAATATTAAAGGAAACCATAAATTAAATAGGGCAAAAGTTTCAATGTGCTCCTCACTGGTTGGATCATGTCTAAATTAAGTTTTGCAGTGACATTTTATAAGAATATTAATAATGAACAGACTTTAGAAGAAGGTGATCAGAATTAGGCAGAACCTAGAAATCTTTATCACTAGAAGGTTCTTTTAAAGAAAAAAAAGGTCCACACTCAGGTGTCTAAAGAAATATATGGGTAGTTATTATATTTCATAGCTGTCATTTGGAAAATGCAGTAATTTGAAGCTGCTCTTGAAGATAAAACTAAGTATTACAGGAAAAAGAAGGCATATTTTAGATTATAAGAAAAAACTTTCTGAGCTATTCAAAAATAGAATGTCTTGGGAAAGAGTTCATTTTTCTCCTTGGAAAGATTTAAGTCTGGATAACCACATAACAAGAATACTCTTACAAGAATATCACTATGCAGAGAAAGATTAAATTAGATCACTAGCTTCAATTAATTTGCAGTAAAATCCTGTTTTCAAATGAAGGCTTAAATCTGAGCCTCATATTTAAAAATATCATAAAGAAAGAAGGTACTTGGCAACTCTTTTGGCAATTTGACAAAAACTAGGATTTTTCAAGGGCACAATTTGAACTCATTGATCTAGATAAACATTGGACTCCCTTTGAATTCTAATGATACACTTTCATTATAAGATTTTTGCAGTGTAGTGAGTTGTATGGTATGGCTTTTCTAGCCATAGTCTTTGTTATTCCCACTGGATTACTGGGTGGGACCATGAAAATATGTGTCAACTTGGCTGGGTAGCTGGTAGTAGTTATTTCCTATAATGAGATTGTTAATTAACTCTGTCCTAGAATTTGCTACAGCAACTGAGCAGCTGCTTTTAAACTCCTGATTATTAAAGTTATCCACCTGCAGTATTTCTGTTGGAGCAGCATGAAGTAATCTTCTGGGAAAGCTCACACTCTCTCTAGTGTGTAGAACTCTGATACTGGGACTGGTTAGTTTTGCCACTCTGCCAGGCTTAAAATCAGCCCTCCTAGAGGCAGAGGGGGAATCTCACTGCCAGATGAGAGAGACACCGAGCTGAGACATAGGAGCAGTGGAACCAAGTGGCTTGAGACAGACCACCAGGTTTACCTGGCCCACAAGGCAGAGGCCAGGCCAAGAGGCAAAGGTCCAGAGAGATGTGTCTAAGGGCACAGCAGAGGGGAAATTGTCCTGATTGAAGAACTGTATTCTGGGTGGGTTCCTGAACTTCTTGAATTGTGTCTGTTGCTTCCCTAATAAACCCTATAATCTGTGAGTTCTGTGTGATGACTGCAGTGAATTATCAAACTGAGCAAAGGGTGGTGGGTGCTGCAAAAGGGATGATTGGTGCCAAGGTTGGTAAGAGGGCTGGAGGGTGGCAGCATGTCTGGCGTCATAAGAACAGGTCTTGGACTGCTGATGGTGATTCTGTAGTTAGAGGAAGTCAAAAGATGCCACCTTCATGCCTCTTTAGCAATTCTTCAATGTTTGTGTTTTATAGTAGAAACAGGAAGTAGTAAGAAAATACCACAGATGTCATCAAGTTGATTCTGATTCATGGTGACTCTATAAGTGTTAGAGTAGAATTGGGTTCCACAGAGTTTATAGTGGCCAATTTATCAGTTAGAGCACCAAGATGACTTCCAGCAAGATGGAGCAATAGCCAGACAAGCTACACAGACCCTCTGCAATAAAGAAATGAGAAACCAACTGAAACAGATACAGAAGATAATCCTGGAACCATTAGCTTTGAAGGAAAGGAAAAAGAAGTATATTAAATACCAACTAGTACACATGAATGAAAACAGTGAACAAGAACACAAATGGAACTATGGATTGTTGGCTTACCTGATGGCACAGCCATTTTGAATATTTATAAGTGGCAATTTGATTCAGGCAGAAACCTAAGAATTGGCTATGCTTACCAAGGACTACATGGGGAACTGCACTAGTATCTGATGACCAGAGAGGAAAACACTGAATAGGGAGACAAACAGAGCTGTGGACTACCAGCTGTTCTGAAGGTGCAGCCATTTTGAATATTTGCAAGCAGCACAGCCATTTTGAATATATGCACACAGCATTCTGATTCAGGCAGCACCTAAGAATAGACTCACTGCTTGAAGACAGCCCAGGCAACCATACAGGAGGATGATGACTGGAAAGGAGCAATATTACCTTTGTTACTCTTGTACTTCATGCCCTCTTGGTGAATAGACATTAGCCATCCCCCAACTCCACCCACCTTTTGCACTGGAAGGAATTCCATCTCAGTCTCCATGCCCTGACAAA